TGGTAATATTTTTTTTAATTCTTTTATTGGTACACTTTAGGTAATACATTTACATTTATCATTGGGTGCTTGTACCTGTACATGATGTATCTTGGTTCTTATTTTTTCCCCCATTATCTGTGCCCCCTTCACCCCCTCAACCCTTCCCTTTTTACATAGACTTTGGGCAGAACAATTCTAATTCTTTCCACTCTATCTCATATCTCCTTTATTTACACCTTGGCCATGCCTGTAAACTTTTATAATAATACTAATTTATTTTAGATGTGATTTCCCACAGTTAATATTTTAGGCTAAGCATGACCTCAATTTCAGCAATTTCTGCTTTGAAATGCAGCAATTAGCAGCACCTGTTCAGGGACAGATTCACAACGAAATTAAGGAAGCTGCACCTTTGGGCTCCTCTAACATTCTCTAGCCCTCTTCTAAAGTCCTAGGAGCAAGGTTGCTAGATTTAGAAAATAAAAAATATCATAAAGACTCCCAAGTTAAATTTGAATATCAGATTTTAGAAAAGGACATATGTTTAGCAATTTGTACGAGACATATTCATACTAAAAATTGTGTTCATTGTTTATTTGAAATTTAAATCTACCTGGGAGTCTTGGATTTTATCTGGCAATCTCACTTAGGGGATGCCCTAGCCACAGTGCATCAGTGATTTTGTTTTCTTCTTCTCGAAGAGAGAGTTAGCATTGGATAATCTCTATGCCCCCTAATACCAAGATTCTCTCATCTCTGGTTCAGTTATCTTGATTAATTTAAAGCACTTACATTACCATTACTAAAACTACTGTGGTTGTTGCTGTGATTTTATTAGAAATGTGACTTACTGGAGAAGGGCTGTAGCATTTCATGGCCTTTGCTGACATATATAGCTTATGATGAACCAAGACCAACAGTTCTCATTTTTTCCTCACTTGTGTTTAATTGCTTTTTCCTGCATTGCAAATTGTATTTGTATCAGAACCTCTTTATTCACAGCATTTTAATTAATCTGTGGCACGATCTGAGCTCTATTCTGTAGCCACTACTTTTCCTATCAATAGATAAAGAGAATACATGTAACTTTGAGTCAGAAACAGGATTTGTTCAGAAAACTATGACAATATTATTGTCCACTTACAAAAAAGGACTGTAAAAGAAAGAAATTTTCTTCTAAGGCCATTCATCTGCTTCTATTTATAGGTCAGTACTTGTTTTCATGATTTTGAGGTAGTCAGAAGTGTTTTTCCATCCTCCTGCATTGTAACCCACTGGTAAAACCTACATCTGTCCACTTCACCTTGAGCAGCACCTCTCTGAATGTCCATTCCTATCAGCTAGGATCTCCCTGGGTGCTTGCCACACAGAACTGTTTGTCATAAAGATACACTAGGTCTGTCTTTTAGCTAAGCATGTGTACCTAGACACCCTCCTACTCTCATGCTACTGTTCCCATCAAAACCTAATGAATCCCCTGAGTACTTGATAGGGCACTGTTAATCCATGAAGTAGGGATGACCCTGTTCTGCAGCACTGGGACATTAAAGAACCTTACTGAAAAAAGTGTGCTTAAGAAAAGAATGTTTTCTTATCAGTTTTTTAAGGTTGCTTTGGCAAGCAACTAGGGAATAGGCTTGTGATATTTCTTACATTCTATGCTTGAAATTGCTAATGCAATATCAATTATCTCACTATCATTTTAAACACTGTGTGAAAAGTACAAGAGTTATACTAAAGGTTCCGAGAATACAATTTTCTCTCATGGAAGCTGGGGTGCTTTATTGCTGATAATTCTTACCCTGCGCTTAATTTAACCTTGAATGATTTTTCTTTCCCAACCAATGTCCCAGCACCATGATGCCACTCACTACCTTTGTTTCTGTCCACTTGGTCTACACAGGTGGAATGCCCTAGGGCTAGTAAAGTCAGTTCTTTACCAACACATTCTCAGCTGTAGTTATCCCTACATTGACCAGCCAACATTTTATTCATGGAATCCAGCCCAAAATAAGCTGTAGAGAAAGTCAGGCATTGTTTCTTTTTTCAAGACACAAGAACTATTCTCTGTGGATCTAACAATGTCACAGTAGGACGACATGTCTGGTTACATAACAAAAACACTTTATCTTGAATTGTCCAAGGGAAAATAGGGCGCTAAATGCCTGGGTATTCAGGACTTTGACTAGTGATATTTATTATCATACCTAACCTATTTTGAGGATTTCTATGTGCCATATAGTGCCATATTCTACAATATAAGATTTCCTGTATTATCTCATTAAAACCTCACCACCTGATGAAGTGATAATATTGTTTCTCCCATTATAAAAATGCAATACCTCATGGTTAAGGAATTTCCTGAAGTCATACAGCCAAATCATTGTAGAAAGTGATGATGAAAAGTCGAAATAGATTTGGTGCACTCTGGATTCCAGCATCATCTAACATTCAAATCTTAAACCAATTGCAAGGCTGCCTGTATTTGAATCTTGGATCTACAGCTCAGACTTTTTTTTTTCTCCTTCTTCATTGAAAAATGCTCAATAGCAATATCTATAGCAAAAAAGATGTGACAATTAAGTGAATAAAATCGCATTACCACTTATGCATGCTTATCATGTGGCATTCACTGCTTCTAAATTCACTGAATATATCTGATCATTTAAGCCTGAGCACAGTTCTCTAAAGATGCAGAAGCTGAGGCACACAGAAAATAAGTAAACTTTCCTGAGGGTATGTAGAGGATGTGGTAGAGCCAGGGCATGACCCAGGCATTCTGTACCTGGATCCACTTATATTCTCTTGTTCTTAGTAATGTAACCAAAGCTCTTAGCACAGTCCCCTGCCAGCCACATGGTGGGCAATCACTAAGGATTCATCATTTAAGAATAAAATTCTGTGGCAGCTCTA